GTATTCTGTATTTTGTTTAATCATATTTAATACTATTGTCAATAATTGTTCTTTTTTCTCCATTATCTTGGTTTCCATAGAATTTCCTACATTGTATTTTTAGGAAAATGATGCCATCTTTTTCTGTGGCATCATTTATGGTATTATAATATATTTATTAGCATTTTGATGGTTTTCCTTTTAAATATATATATTTTTGATGTGCTTCAATTTACAAGGTAGCTTGATAAAAATAACCATATTCTTCCTTCCATGTGTATTTTTCCCTTTTATAGTGTAAGGACATCTTAACAGTATATTTCTGTTAAATCAATGTCCGAGGCCACCAGCAAAAGCACAGCTTACACACAGGCATTGGATACAACAATAGTTTTCTCACACAGGGAAGAGACAGAGACGGCTCATCATCCGGAGTCGGCACCAGTCTCCACAGCCAGCGGTCTCACTCTGTGGTCAGGGCAGGGATGGAGGTTTGCAAGATCTCTTGTTTGTGCTGCAGTTGAAGAACAGTGTTCCCTCCTCACCTGCAGAGATAACGAAATAGGGTTGTGCTATGAGGTGGAATCTACTGGAAGGCAGTGAGATGATTTTGTTGTTGTTTCGTATATTCCATGTAATGTGTGTAACAATCAGTTTGGGGAATGTTAGCACGTGTTCAGAAGAAGGTAGAAGAGGTATGTTGTAAAATGCCAATGACTAAAGAGTGTTTTTGGATCCAGAAGCCTTAGGAAAGACAGTCAGACAGCAAGGTCATCACATTCCAGTAGCCAGACTGACACATTTGGTCCTAAGCAAACCTGGGTCTGTTATGACTCTGGGGAAGGACAGCAACTGCACTTGGACTGCCTGCTTCCTCAATTTCAAATTCCTATTTTGGTTTATCTCAGATGTATTTTGTCATTGGGGGTAACATTCTTGATTTTTTTTTCTTTATTTTTCTGTTTTACATTAAATGAAACCCGGAATGGATGAGCATATAGAGATAGCAAAGAGAATAAGGGATTCTGGGGCCTACAATGGGGGGGTGGGAAAAAAGGGAGCTGATGCCAAGTAATTCAAGAAGGAAGAGGGTGTTTTGAAACTAATTTTGGCAGCAATTATACAATATTTCTTGATGCAATTAAACTATGAATTGATATGATTATTAGCTCCAAATAAAATGGTTTTAGGAGTAAAAATGAGAAAATATTTAAAATATTAAATAAATACTATTCCATTGTTAATTTTTTAAATTCAAATTTTTGCTTATATCATAATCTCTTTTCTGGTTCAAAATTTTAGCTATTTTTTTGAAGTGTTGTAAAAGCAAGGCTTTCCATCAGTTTCTGATTATGTGTGAAAAAATTATCTTTCACTTAACTAATTTTTCTCATGGTACATGTACAGACAACAAAATAATATTTTCAACATTCTTGTCATGCATAATTCAGTGGCATTAGGTTATCATTGTGTTCAACAACTGCCAACAGCCGTAAAATTTCCTGTTACACCCATCAAAGAAACCCATGAAAAAGAAGTCTGACTCGACAATTTCCTCCTTAACATGGAATAAGTAGAGGGATATGTCTGATTAGAGGACACGGGAGCAAATAAAGGGGGAGGAAGAGAGAGTGGAGCACATCCTGGCCCACCAAGCCTTGAGGACTATATTCCCACTCAGAGCAGCCAATCCACAGAGAAGAACATATGGCCAGCCCCACTATGAGACACGACATCCTTCGCTGACTCATAGCCCTACAGGGGACAACACTGGAGACATAGTGTGGAAATTGTGCCCGATCTGATCGTATCACACCGAGGCAAAACACAAAGGGCATGCAACAGGACACCAAGGGGAACAAAGCAACAAAGTCCCCAGGGAATACCGAAAATAGACTTTGGGGCCAGGGTGTGGCACCCCATCAAATGCCACCGGAAAACACTCCTAAAGGCCAACAAACAGCCCTTGAACTAACTACATGCTTTTCTTTGTTGTTGTTGTTTTGTTTTCTTTTGTTGCTTTGTTTTCTCTGTCTTGTTTTTGTGCATGTTATTATTTCTGCAGGTCTGTCTAAATAAGATAGGTTGGATAAACAATCTGGAGGAGAAAACAATGGGACCTACAGTTCCGGGGTGACATGGGAGAGGGGGAGGTGGGTGGAAGGAAACTGTTGTTAACAAACCCAGGGAAAAGGGAACAGCAAGTGATCCAAATCGGTGGTGAGGAGAGTGTAGGAGGTCTGGTAGAGCATGATCAAGGGTAATGTAACCAAGAAGAATTACTGAAAACCAAATGAAAGCTGAGCATGATAGTGGGGCAAGAGGAAATTAAAGGAAATAGAGCAAAGAATTGGGAGGCAAATGGGCATTTATAGATGTCTAAATAAAGGCATGTACATAAGTAAATATATTTATATATGAGGATGGGGAAATAGATCTATGTGCATATATTTATAGGTTTAGTATTAAGGTAGCAGA